TTGCGGACTGTAGTTGGGTCCTAGGGCCGAGTTGCCCGGTGCTGCCTTTGGTTTGCCCTTGACGTCTTGAGTTGAGGTTGTCCCTTTGGCCACTTGGTCGAGCTGCTCACCGTCACGGGTTGAAGTTGAGAGACCGAACTGTTGCTTGAGTTGATGACGACGTTGCTGTTGCTGCTGTCGAGATTCCAGGGAGTTTCCAGCCTGGTTAGGCAGGTCGACGAGCGTGCGCCAACGAGGATGGTCGCGAGCTCTAGCGAACGGCGCCTCGACAGCCATCTTCACCGTGTGCTGACTGGATAACAAGTCATGCAAAGCGCATCGTGATGGCTCAAGTGACAAGATGGCGATCTACGGCTTGAAAAGATGTGTTCTCGGTGGGTACTCGTGGCAAGGCAGTGCAAGTCGTATTCAGAAAGGACTTTTGATGAAATCTTCGCAAGGAGCTACACGGTGCAGTGGAGGCTTCTGCTGCACGGCCCACCAAAAATCCAGGGTTGGGGGGTCCTAGAGCTTCATTTCGCCGCTTCTCAGCCTCGCGCACTTGCAGCATGGACCCTAGTTTAACGTTCGGGTCGCCTTATCACACAAACCGGCAACGTAGATGAGTGTTTGCTCCCAGCAGCCTGTCGCGGAGACGCAGCAAAGAGGACTCGTCGTCGGCGGTGGGCCGAACAATGCTCACATAGCGTTGCACCGAGCATTCTCAAAGTCCCGAAGTCTCCTTGCTGAGAGCACATCGGATAACAACTAAACAAACAGGTCCTTTACGAAATTGAGAACGTTTGAGACAACGGCAGAATCAAAGCTGTGTCGTTGTCGTCCCTCTGAGAGAATGTGAGAAAGAGGAAAACGCGGTCGCAAAGCCAAAACTAGAGTAGAGCAAACAGGTTGACGGGAGGAAGATTGACCCTGCGTGTGGAATTTTGGTTGTCTGAGGTAGACTCGTGGCGTATCTGGTTCAGGAGCAGCGCGAGCTTTGGCTCAGACCCACAGACGGGCGCTAGAACACGGACACGCCTTCTCAAAGCTTGACACGCACACACGCACACAAGACCAAGCACACACGCACGCACCTCTTGACAAAATTCCCACCTCTCTCTGACAGCGCGCAGTTGCACTGGCAACCTCCGACCCAAACGCCAACGCAACACCGTTCCGCTTTACCTCTGGGTTGTCGCCCCGCGCTTTCTTTTGTGTGAGAGATTGATCCTCTCGGCTTGCCCCCCCCTCTCTCTCCCTCCCTCCCAGCCTCCTTTTTCGCTTTCCAAGTCGAGCAGCTGCACGTCTGGCTGCGATCTGCTTTGCTGTTCCTTTCATCGAACCCTTTTCTCTTCTCCAACCTTGTTTCCACATTGCCCTTTGTTGCCTCGTCTTCATCGGCCTGATCGGTATCTGACAAGACCAAATCTCGCTCGCTGGCATAGACCACTTTTACCTTCGACATCGACTTGCTTCCCACACACTCATCATCCCGGTGTTGCTCAACCTCGGATCCCTCATCATCACGTCGTGCCTGGTCGAGCGTCGATTCTAGTCGCTCAGACTTATCCTCAAACGACCGACATTCCCTTTACGGCTGCCTCGAGGTGAGTTTCCGACTTTCTAAGGCAGGGACGTTTGCCGACATTGAAGGCTGATAACCGCGGCACGGCTTCACGGTTAAGCTGCAGTGTCGCTGAGGTTCTTCCTTCTTTTTGATCATCTCCCTCAATATTTTGCTGACCTTACCCTTTTCCTACCGCACTGCGCCCCTACCCTAATTCTGTCACACCTGAAACCTACTCTCACGCTCGTCACCGCGTCCACTGAATGTGTCCGTCACCACACGACACGCTTGTACACGCATCTCCACCCTACGCACGCACCAGCTTTACCGCTGGTTAGCAGCATCGCCTGCAAGTAGCGAGCGACTGCAACCATGTCTGGGTTCCGAAGTCAGTCCAACGGCGCGCCAGCCGGCTCGCAAGGAGGCTCTTTTGGATCCTTGACGCCTTCACGTCCGGCGCCGCCTGTTCCTACCAGATCTCACAATGACCCCTTCCTGCCGCCTCTCTCCCAGTACAACTCGGGCTCCAGCTCCGTGGGCATGGGTGCCGGAGGAGGCTCCTACACCGGTCCTCTCCGTCCTGCAGGGCCTGGCGCCACCGCCTCGGGCGGAGCACCTGCTAGCCATCTTGGCTCCAACTCGGGATGGCAGCAAGCCGGTCCGGGTGCCACTACGAGTGGAGCTGCTGTCGTCAGAAAAGGTTGGGTCAGTGTCAAAGAGGATGGTATCCGTTCGTGGATCTGGAGCAAGCGGTGGCTTGCATTGCGCGAGCAGACGCTCACCTTCCACAAAAACGAGACCACCTATCAGGCCGTGGCACTCGTCTTCCTCAAGGACATCTCTAACGTCTCGCGCACCGATCTCAAACCATACTGTATCGAGGTTGAAACCAAGGAAAAGACCTTCTACCTGCAGCTCAAAAGCGATGAAGAGCTCTATGGCTGGATGGACGACATCTACTCGCGCTCGCCGCTCATGGGCGTTTCTTCCCCAACCAACTTTGTCCACCAGGTCCACGTAGGCTTTGACCCTATCAGCGGTGCCTTCACCGGCTTGCCCGAGCAGTGGTCCAAGTTGCTGACTACATCGGCTATCACACGAGAGGACTACGAAAAGAACCCACAGGCCGTACTCGACGTTCTCGAGTTCTACACCGATATCCAAAAGCGTGAGCGCGACGACTTTGGTCTCGGCACCCCTACCATGAACATGCAGTCTGGACGCAAGCCCAACGAGATTCCAAGTGCCTCTTCAGCGCCCCGCTTCAAGGCAGGAACTGGCTTTGCTGGGAGCGCCGGTGCCGACTCGGCTTTGAACCTGAGCAAGGAGGCACCCCAATACCCAGGTGCAGCCAAGCCTCCGTCGGACGCCTTCCGCAACTCGCCATCGGGCGCCTCCTCGTCGTCCTCTTCGGCGCTGAGACCCTCGCAGCCTGCCATCACACGGCGTCCCTCGGATGACGGTCGAGGGCAAGGCGCATCCAGCCCCGCTTCGTCTCAGGCATCTTCTTCCCGCCTTGGCGGTTCCAACGACTCCAAATACGGCCGCTCTACGCCTGCCTCTGCTTCCTCTGCGCATCCCGATCTTGTGCCTTCGCGCAAGGCTCCTGCCGCTCCTGGCGCTCCAAAGACACCGACAGCTGCCTCGTCACTGGCTTCCACTCGACCCGCACCTCCTCCCCCGAACTCGTCGGCACCTTCGAGCAGAGCGGGCAACGATGGCGGTGTTCAGGGCCTCAACGTCAAGACCAAGGAGCTCAAGCTTGGAAGCGACTCTGCCGGAGTCTCGCCCTCCTCTACCGGTGCGGCCAAGACTGCCGCCGCCAAGCAGCCTTCTCCTGCAGCCGCATCCAGCTCGTCCGCGAACGCAGCCGCCCAGGTCAAGCCGCTGCAGATGGCCAAGAAAGACACTGGGACAAAGACTGCTCAACAGAAAGAGGCTGAGCGTCGCATCAGCACCATGTCGGAAGCTCAGATCATGGAGAAGCTTCGTTCCGTTGTAAGCCAGGAAGACCCCAACATGCTGTACAGCAAGATCAAGAAGGTCGGTCAGGGAGCTTCCGGTTCCGTATTCGTCGCCAAGACGCTTGCTACAGGGCAGCGTGTAGCCATCAAGACCATGGACCTGTCGCAGCAGCCACGTAAGGAGCTCATTGTCAACGAAATTCTCGTCATGAAGGAGTCGCAGCATCCCAACATTGTCAACTTCCTCAACTCGTTCCTCGTGCGCAACAACGAGCTGTGGGTGATTATGGAGTATATGGAGGGAGGAGCGCTCACCGATGTCATTGACAACAACACGCTTGAAGAGGACCAGATTGCTGCGATTTGCATGGAGACATGCAAGGGCCTTGAACACCTGCACAGCCAGAGCATCATTCACCGTGACATCAAGTCGGACAATGTGCTGCTCAACGCCAGCGGCCAGGTCAAGATCACCGACTTTGGATTCTGCGCCAAGCTGACTGATCAGAAATCGAAGCGTGCCACCATGGTCGGTACGCCTTATTGGATGGCGCCCGAGGTGGTCAAGCAAAAGGAGTATGGTGCCAAGGTTGACATCTGGAGTTTGGGTATCATGGCGATCGAGATGATCGAGAACGAGCCGCCTTACTTGGACGAGGAGCCGCTCAAGGCGCTGTACTTGATTGCCACCAACGGTACACCCACACTCAAGAAGCCCGAGACGCTCTCCAAGAACCTCAAGAGCTTCCTTGCTGTTTGCCTGTGTGCAGACGTAAAGAGCCGTGCTTCGGCCGACGAGCTGCTCCACCATCCGTTCCTGCAGTCGGCATGTCCTTTGTCGAGCCTCGCACCGCTGCTCCGATTCCGCAACAAGCCTGACCGTTAAGGGTCTAGATTTTACAAAGTGTTCAACATGTACTTTGATGATCCTTTCATACCTGTCACGACGTTTCTCATGAATATCTGCATTCTGCTTATCACTCTATGCCGTCACTGTCTGCTGTGAACCTCTTTCTCGTTTCGGATGTGGCAAGCTTCACCCAGATCGTCGGCAGATCCGCAACTACTGAGGGAGCGCCAAGTTTGCTGACGAGGACAGCGTTCGCACTCTGATTCGACTCGGAGAATCATGCTCAACAAAGTCAAACTTTATATGACGCTTCATCGTTCAGAGCAGAGACCGATCCTGGACGCTGCCAAGCTGCCCTTGCTGCTATTGTTGCGGCTGCTATCCGAACGACATCGGATGAGCCGCAAGTGATAATGTGCCAACCGCAATTGACGCGGAGGTCCAAGCGCGAACCTTCTCTCTTCACAGTAGTGACGCTCCTGCAGTTCCTAGCGCATGGACGCTACATCTTGTCCTCACCGCCAACTGTGTTCATACTACCGTTCTCCATCATCCCTGCATCACAATGATCACCGACACTCACGGAATGCAAAGGAAAAAGTGTTGAAAAAGTTCTGGGCTGTAAAGATTGCCAAAAAAGTGTCCTCGGCGAGAGTCGAACTCGCGATCTTAGGATTTCTGAACAGTAATGCTCGTAGGTTGACTCCTGTCAAGACAGGATCGCTGGCGAATATGCGTATGAGACCTACGCCCTAACCAACTAGGCCACGAAGACATGTTGTTGAGCGACCGAGCAACGAATGTATACATGTATGCGTTGTATGTACCCGAATGTTAAAATACAGGGGTGGCCTCATGGACATGCCCAAATTTGAAAAAATGCGAGGCAGCACATAGCAGCGCATGGATTTTGGATTTGTCGACTGTTGATCAGAGCAGCCTCTGTTGCGTTGCGTGCGTGAATTGGCTTGTGCATGAGCGCTGCTCGTATGTACTGAAGGTACTCCACCTCAACACTCGGCCAAGTCACAGAGCCTCTCACTGCAGTGCTCAGCCAGCGCGTGCACAGATCTCGAATCGGCAACGCGCCTGGAACTGTCTACTGGAACTTGTTACTCGTCTTTGGTCACCATCACTTGCCTTTCTGTCACCATCACCTTCCACTCTATCCTTCTCCCACACCCATTCAACGGCACGTCCGAGTCTGACAAGCTGCCTCACAAGAAGGCCAGCTCTGTCGACGAACGCCGCAATCCATAGCGATGGACGACTCAGCCAAGGTCCTCTCAGAGGCCCTCAACGTGGTCAAGGTGCAGCTCGTTCAAATGAAGAGATGTCTCGATGCCGATCAGGTTATGGATGCGCTCAAAAGCGCCTCGACCATGCTTTCCGAGCTCAGGACTTCTACACTGTCACCCAAGAACTACTACGAACTCTGTGAGTATTTTGGCATCGCAGTACGCTCTGTTTTCCGCATACGCGCAGCTGACTGACCCAAACCGCGTTTCTCTTCCTCTTGCATTTATAGACATGGCCGTCTTTGATGCTTTGCGCCACCTGTCCATCTACCTCTACGATGCCCACACCACCGGCAAGCATCACCTTGCTGACCTGTACGAGCTCGTCCAGTACTGCGGGAACATTGTTCCCCGTCTCTACCTCATGATCACCGTCGGAAGCGTATACATGTCGATACCCGACGCTCCTATCAAGGAGATCATGAAGGATGTCATGGAGATGAGCCGTGGTGTCCAACATCCCACCCGAGGTCTCTTCCTCCGTCACTACCTCAGCGGCGCAACCCGTGACTACCTTCCCGTCGGTCAGGACATGGGACCTGGCGGCAATCTTCAGGACAGCATCGGCTTCGTGCTTACCAATTTCATCGAGATGAACAAGCTCTGGGTCAGGCTCCAGCACCAGGGCCACTCCAGGGACCGCGAGAAGCGTGAGATGGAGCGCAAGGAGCTTCGCATCCTCGTCGGCACCAACCTCGTTCGTCTCAGCCAGCTCGAAGGCGTCGACCTCGAAATGTACCAACGCACCATCTTGCCTTCCATTCTCGAACAGGTCGTCAACTGTAAGGACGTCATCGCCCAGGAATACCTCATGGAGGTTGTCATCCAAGTCTTCCCCGACGATTTTCACCTTCGCACCCTCGGACCGTTCCTCTCTGCATGTGCCGCACTTCATCCCAAGGTCAACATCAAGCAGATCGTCATCGCACTCATCGACCGCCTCGCAGCCTACGCAGCGCGTGAAGCCGAGAACGACAGTCCTGAAGAGATCAAGAGGCAAGAGGAGGAGGCAAGTCGTCGCCTTGCCGAAAAGACTAGACAGATGAGGATGACCGGTCAAAGCGCTGGACCTGGCTCGGTCTGGGACGAAGTGACTGCCCAAGGCGATCCAAAGGCCAAGGCTGCCGACATCGCCGAGCCCGCATCACCAACCGCCGCCGACCTTAGCACCATGCCGCCACCACCTGTCGAGCCAAGCGGGTTCGGCATGGCTTCGGCCGACCGAGAGTCTGCAGCTGCGCCCAATGTCGCGACCCACAGCTCGGAAGAGCCTGTCTTCCGAAGCATGCCAGAAGGCCTCGATGAGGATGCTTGGGGCTCAGCTGGTGGCAGCGGCGCGGGCGGCGTCTCTGCTACAGGCTCGAGCACGTGGGCATCGCAGACTGATGACGGAACAGAGGCGACACAGAATACCACCGACACCGGCGTCACTTCGACCGAAGCAGACGCTGCAACAGACGAGCACAATGCTCGTGCCCAGGAGTTCCCCTCAGCTGGCTTTGGGCAAAACAACAATGCGAACGGAGCACCGACTAACGGAGACGCCGAGAAGGTGGCTGCACCAGCGCAGGCGCAGGCTCCTCGTCCACCCGTGCTGTCTGAAAAACCAGTGGGCAAGTTCAGGGGCATCCCCGAGGATGTCCGTCTTTTCGAAGTCTTCTGGGAGCAGATCGTCCAGCTCATCCGCGCCCGACCCGACCTCTCCATCCAGGACATCACAGCGCTGCTCGTCTCGCTTGCCAACCTCTCGCTCAGCTGCTACCCAGACAAGCTCGAGTACGTCGACCAGGTCCTCGCCTTCGCACGCGAGAAGGTTGTCGAGTTCGAGCAGAGCCCCGACCTTCATAGTCCAGCGACGACCACCAACCTCAACTCGTTGCTCCTCTCACCAATCAACTCATATCTCACCGTGTTGACACTGCTGGCGTTGCCATCATATCTCTCCCTGCTCTCGGTGCAGCCGTACACGACACGAAAGTCGATCGCACAGGCCGTTGTCATGTCGGTGCTTCGCAACGAGACGGTCATGTCGACGCCCGAAGATGTTAGCGGCGTCCTCGATCTTTGCAGTCCCATCATCCGTGATCACAAGGATGCGATCATGGGCGGGTTGCCGCATGGAGGCATGCACATGGGAGCAAGCGGTGCAGGCGGTCAGACCGGCTACGGCGGTGCCTATGGTCACTATGGCGGCGATCCAAGGATGGCACAAGGCATGTACGGTGCCGGTGCACGCGGCGTAGGCCGTCATCACATGATGCAATACGACATGGAGGAGATGGCCGAGGAGCAGGGCTGGATTGCTCGCATGATCCATCTCTTCCGTGCAGATGAACTCGAGACGCAGTTCAGCCTGCTTCAGACTGCTCGCAAACACTTTGTGGACGGAGGCGAGCGCATCAAGTTCACGCTTCCACCCCTCATCACCTCTGCCATCAAGCTCGCCCGACGCTACAAGCTGCGCGAGAGAAAGGAATCGAGCTGGGAAACCAAGATGTTGACCCTCTACAAGTTTATCCACCAGGTCATCTCAATTCTCTACAACAAGGTCGAATCTTCGGATATTTGCCTGAGGCTATTCTTGCTTGCCGCCCAGTCAGCGGACGAGAGCGGCTTTGAGGAGCTTGCCTACGAGTTTTACGTACAGTCATTCACCATCTACGAAGAGTCAATCTCGGAATCTCGCGCTCAGCTTCACGCCATCGGCCTCATCATCAGCACTCTTCAGACGGCTCGCGTGTTCGGCACCGACAACTACGACACACTCATCACCAAGGCGGCGTTGCACGGTGCCAAGCTGCTCAAGAAGCCACACCAGGCCGCTGCTGTCATGATGGCCAGTCATCTGTGGTGGCAGACCGAGGTGCCAGGCCATCCCTCTGGGCTTGCTACCAGCTCATCATCTGCCACCGGCAACGCGGCTGCGAACAGCAGCGTGGCTGCAAGTGGCAGCAACAGCAACGGAGGTAGCACAGGCAAGGAGAACAAACCTATCCTCCTCAAAGATGGCAAGCGCGTGCTCGAGTGTCTACAAAAGTCGTTGCGAATTGCCAACAGCTGCATCGACGAGCGCAGTACCGTGGAAATCTTCTGCTCAGCGCTCGACCAGTACCTCTACTACTTTGAGCAGCAAGTCGAAGCGGTCGCGCCCAAATACATCAACTCGCTGGTGGAGCTCATCTCGAACGGTTTGGACTCGCTAATGACTGCCGAGACAGACGGCGCGCATGGTGGCGCTCCTGGCGGCGGAGCGCCCGTTGCTTCACATCCAGCTATCGTTGGAGGAGGCTTCCTCGAGCTTCCAACTACCCCAGACAGCTGCCTTCGACACTTCCGATCCCAGCTGCAGTACATTAAGACGCGAAAGGAGGCAGCAGCACTTGCGCTCGCCAATGCCAACCCCCAGGCAAGTAGCGCGGATGGCGCAGCAGGCGCAAGCTCGTCCAGCGGTCCTGATTGGGGCGCTGTCCAGATTGGGCCCAGTCTCACAAAGTTTGGTCTCAAGTGAGAGGTCTGTTCTTGTTAGTAATGTGATCACATTGTTTTTATGCAACGTCCAGAAAGCTTCTGTGCATCGGCAAGATTTTGAGGGAAAGCGCATGGTAGGAAGAGACGTGTGGTCTTTGCTGTGAGCCTGGTTTTGGAAGCCTGCTTGTGTTTATAAGTTGGAGAGAGCAGTTGAGCAGCTCAAGTATAGAAGCATAATGGCGATGCTATAGCAACTGCGTAAGAGCGGTGCATCGAGAGCGGATGAGGATAGGACCAGGCAGAGGGAAGAGACAAGAACCAGCGTATCACCTGTGAACCAACAACGATGCTGCCACACAGCAATTCCACTGCATGCTCAGTTGCCGCTCGGGTTCAGTTGTGTTCTCCTTGGCTTGCGCTCCTGGTGTATATTAGCCAACGTGATGCGTGTGAGTCTTTGCCAGAGTCACATTCGGCGCTTGGAAGACTTTCACAGTCGCATTGTGGGCTTGACGAGAACGGATTTTCAGATGCGAGCATGTTGACCATTCAAGTCAATCACAAATGCGGCGCTGTGACCGGTGTCGGGATGGTCCCGACGTGGAATCCCCAAAGATCGCGAAAAGCGACAACTAGAGGCTGTATGAACAGGTTTGTTTGCAAAAAGGCGGAGAGGTTACAAGATAGGAAGGAAATTAAGAGACTGCATGCTGGAGCGCTGCAAGAGCGTTGGTAGAGCAAACACTTTCAAATGATCTCCAAGTCCGAGTCCTCGTCGTCTTCGGCGTCGTTGTTAAGACGCTTTCGCGACTGCGACTGGAGCTGCAGGATGTGCTCGCTCAGTCCAACCTCCTCTGAAGACTTTACCTCTGCAGACGGGCGTGTCACTTCGTCGTCGAGATCATCCTCCCATCCATCGTCCTCAAAATCTTCAATGTTGACCAATTCTCCGCCGACCACCTTCAGCTTTGAGACACGACCGACCTCGTCCGAAGGAAGGCGGAGCTTG